GGATTGCTTGAACTCCTGTTTATCTTCACAGTGAGACAAATGGTTCTCTGGCTTGGTGACGCTGCCAGTGGAGTCAATGCATGGACCCTCCTTCAAGCTAGATATCAGAATTTTCACACTGGAGTCTCCCGAGTGTACAATCCGTGGTCCCCACACTATTTCCAAGTGTGATGCATTCTCTGATTGCAGTGTGGAAAATGAGTGTTCTTGGGCCAGGCATGAAAACTGTTCCGTCTTTGGTGCCAGGTGCCACCTGTGGTCACACACTTGTTTTCCCCACACCTTTCCCAGGCACCTCACTGTGGGTCTGTCTTTGGCTTTTCCCCTTCATTGTTCAAGGTGGTGTGGAGCTGCTAAGGCAGCATATGTTCAGTCAGCTCTGAGGCGGCTTTCAGTGAGTTATTTTTAACTTTCAGTCTTTCTTGGCTTAAATAATTGCTCCAGTAAGAAGCTATTACTTAATTTTAAACTGTGCACATATAACCCCTCAGCCGCCATTGCAAGTGTTTATTTAAAACAGTCAGAGTAGCTGCAGAGTAGCATAATTTTCATGTGTAGTCCCTGGAACCAGGACTTTCATTTCTGCCTTTCACTTTTAGACATTTTCTCTGCTGCTGAGTTTGGAATGCTATCGCTTCTCTCTAGTCATTGTTGGGTTTAATGAAATAACTGTCTCCTAAGTGCAGAACTTCTTGGGTTTGGCTTCCAGGTCCACACTTTACCAGTTGTGAGATCTATCTATCTAGCTAGCTTTTGCTCAGTAGCTCTTGTTTTAGGTGAACAAATGCAGCAATAGTACTCACTGGACACTATGTTGAAAATGAACTTTACAACTTGTGCATAGGATAGAAAGAAAAAACTTGGACAATGTCTAAAAAGAAATAATGCTCTTTACCTGACTTATATGACTGTGACCCTTGTGTATATCACTTATATAATAAAAATTTAAAAAATAGTGCCTGTTTTGCTAGGTTGGGCATCTCCCATGATCAAGGACTTGTCTTCTTTATTTTTGTCTTCCTAGCACCTAGAACAGTGTATGCCATGAGGTACGTTCTGATAGACATTTGTTAAAATTTACTAAAGTAATACACATGGTGCATTCATTTCAGTGCCTAGAGCAGAATAACAAACAGCAGTAGAAGATGCTGAGCTTTCTCTTTGGCACCATTGAAGCCTCTCAATGTTATGAACTGTGCTTAAGAAGTGGCATGTAATGTTTTTTAAATGTTCTCTACAGAAGAAGCGTTGATCACCATTTAGCAATTCCATATTGACATCAGATAATAATACTACTCACTGTGAAATAGAGTCTCTGTTTAGTCTGCCAATATAATTTATGGTTGACTAATTAGTATAAAGGAAAAAAATGAAAATACTATTGTCTCGTTGTGTGTATATTTTCATCACACTGAAGCCTGAGATGACTTGTCTCTCTTAATTTCCCCAACAAGGCATGTTCAAAGCCTTCTTTTCTCTATTTTGCACTTGTTCTAAGGAGACTGTATTTCTGAGTTGACTTTGCTAGTTTGTATTCTCTGATTTAGAACACTCTGGCCTAAATAATAGATTAAGCATTTATTATTGATTTCATTTAATTTTCCATATAGCATTACACACAGTTGTAGTGCTGTCGAATTTGAGAGCACAAAGGGTCTCCAATGGTTTCCTCTGGCACACTCCGGTCTCACAGAGGAGGAAGTAGATGGAGGAGAAGTTACCCAGCCCGGCTGCAGTTCAGGGGAAGATGGGAGAGACTTCCTCACCCATGACTAGTTTTGCTTTGCCTCCTTCGTTTAAAAGGGCATGAAGAAACAATTGAAGTCTAGCTGTATATCCAGGTTCTTTTAGTCATCTTTTTTTTCCATATTCAAGTTTTTGCAGGGATTAAAGTGCTAAGTTTTTGTGGCCTGTTGTACTAAATGTGATTAATTTAGCCATATCTTCCCCAACAGAAGTCTCTCAGCAGAATTTGTTGTATCTCTTGAACATACTGTAAATTGGTCTTCATTTTATTCAGAATAAATTTTAGAATGCTTTTGTTTACAAAGCATATACCATGTAAACAGTATATTTCATAGAATTTCATAAAAATACTATTGCCTTTGAATGACTGGCTTGCTTTAGTAGAGTTTAATGCAGTGTTAATATAGATTAAAGAAAGGTCAGATAACACTTTCAGTGGTGGCAGTTTTCCTTTCATGTCAAGCCTTTTCTTGTTTTACATAGTATTATCCATTTCTTACTCACTTTGACTCGTGTCTGGAGGCTGAAATGGTGTGAGTATATGCTATTGCAAAGTGTGGTCCTATTTTCCTTCCTCTGTAAAGCCTGGGACAGGAAGTGGGATTATGCATCCTTCAAGTGTGCAGTAATTTGCAGATGGCTTTAATGTCTCATTGTCTCTCTCCACAACTCTTATGTAGCTGTTAAATGAAGTCACAACATTCTTTAAGCAACAGTAATCCTAGGCATAGCTGTCATGGATTTTTTTTTTTCTTAAAGGGACTTTAGGACATGATTATATCTTCATTAGATTTGAGATGTTGAAAACATATCACCACGCTGGATGCATTCATTGTACATCTTCCTGAGCTTGGAAACTTTGGGCTGCTGTGCTAGAGTGAGAGGGGTAAAGACGAATCAGCTTCTGCTGTGGTGGTGTTGAATGTCTTTGCTCAGTGTCAGTCAGCGGAAGGGCTGGGTCCAGAGTGGAGGGCACCAGGGAGCATGTCAGAGGGAGGTGGTACAACTACCCCCCCCCCCCCGGTCTCTTAGGCCTGCCTGTGCTTGGCAGTTAATTATGAATCTTCCCAGTTGTTATCTGGAGTGCAGAGTGCTACTTCTTATATAATGACTGTTTTGGAAATGTGTCGATCAAGAGGTGAGTAACATACTTAGCTTTACATACTCAGAGATATGGAGGACCCCTGTAGTGTGCACATTGCAACAAAACATGTACATACAGGGTAAGTGTGTTCGTTCTTTATCATATGAGGGAGTGTCATGTCTAGGCTTAAAATAGCAGCACTGAGTGTGTCACCTTTCACGATGACCTCCAGCAGTGCACTACAAAAGGCTTTTTTTTTTGCACATTGGAATCTTGTCTGTGTTAAGTTAGTTTAGAATGCGTGATGGCTCTTTTTCTGCTCCCTTCACTTGTGGGCCGTGGCGGTGAGTTCAGTTGGTGTTGCAGTTAAGGTGTTATGCTGGGGCTAATCTCTGTAAAATGCTAGCATTTGTTCTTCCGTTTCCCTATCATCAATCTTTCGCACTCATACCAAACCCCTAATGTATCAGCAGGCTTCCCCGAGCTCCTGGTTAAAATTACCTTTGCTTTGGGTAAACTCTGAACCTTCAAGCCTCAGTGTTTTCAGCTGCCCCCTGTGGATTCCGCAAAGCCTCTGTGCACGTTCCTCTCTGCCAGTCACTTGCTTTATGTCCTGAAATCAGGAGTCTCTGCAGAGCCCGCTCATTATTCCAACACTACCTATCTTCCTTCCTTAGTGGAGAGATGCTGTAACGGCTTCCAGTCCTTGGTATTGCTGATGCAAACTGCTAGAGAAAGCGGTCAGGACTCCCAAGCTAGATAGCTTCGTGCAGTAACAGTGCTCTCCACCAGGCCTTTTCTGTGTTTTCCTGACACTACTTGAAATTGGTAAATTTGTGTCTCAAGGAGAACACTACAATTAAATTTGTGTCCTTAACTTCCTGACTGAAGAGCTCAGATTTTGTTTAGGTGTGCTTGTGAGCTGCCCTTTCCCTCCTTTCATGAATACTCCTCTCTGGCCCATTCTGACCAATGTATTCATAGCTAGTGTAAATGGAGAGCTAGTAGCCTTGCTTGGATATGTGGTCTATGGTGTTTTCAGTTAGCCTGGAGTCGTTTTCATGCAAGCATTAGGTTATAATTTCATTCTTTTGGAGAACTGACTCCTGCCTTTGAGGGAAGTGCTTTGATTATTGATGTGGCCCTTTACTGTCTGTAAAAGCCTTGTTTAGTATTGAGAGTTAGTCTCATTAAGGTTATAGTACATACCTGGAAAGTTATTGAAAATTACTAGACAAAGCAGAATGCTCTTTTTTCATGGGTAGCAACCATTTCCTTATAGATAAGATTCCTAAATATTGTTCCTAGATTTTGACTTTCTGTTAGGCAAAAAACCTAAGGCTGCTAATGGTAGGCCTATAGCCATTAAACTTGAATTGACGTTCACTTGAATGTCAATTAAATGTTTTTTTACTGTGCAAAATACTTTTGCTTATTTTTAAACAATATTGATACTTTTAAAAATAGCTATAAAAAGAGAAAAATGTTGTATTTTAGTACTAAGTACCTTAAAAACTACTTAAGCCTCTAAAAATGGTCTCAGTAGTAGTAGGAGGAGCTTAGAGCTTTTCTGGAATTTGAATGGTCTCACTTAGCCTTGTGCTGGTGTTTCTACGTTCCAGTGGGATAACCAAGGTACCACATTTGTAGAGTAGGAGCCAGGACTATGTCCTCAAGGATACTTCTGTAAAGGTTAGCAAGTACAACTAATTTTGCACAATTTCTTCTGATTCAACCCTGCACAGCTATTGGCTTAAAGTAAATTGTTTAAGTTATCATGTTTAATTATTTGGGATACAAAAGCTATGTTTTAAAAACATAAAGCCACTGTGAATCTTTTAGGTGGGTTTTTGTTGTTGTTAGGATTCCTCTCCCCCTCTCCCCCCCCCCTTTAGTGATACTCCTTAAATTCTAACTATATTGATCAAAGCAGAATACCTTCAGGTTAAAACACCATAGCCTTTTTTATTATGGTATAGGTATCAGTGCACTTTATTTATAATAGTCAAGGAGTAAAGAGGGTATTAAATAGTTCAGAACGTTCTCAAAAGAGTTTTGCCATCTTAGTCAATATTTAGTGATATTGTTTTTTAACAGAAAATTGTGGGGTTTTTTTGCTAGCTGCATTTCCATGTTCATATTCCATGTTGTACTTGTTGTGTGTTTTCAGTGGGTACCCCTTATTACATGTCTCCAGAGAGAATACATGAAAATGGATACAACTTCAAGTCTGACATCTGGTCTCTTGGCTGCCTTCTGTATGAGGTAGGAAGGGCTGGTAAATCTCACACAGCGATGCATGACGCTTGCTTGTCCTGTCCTTGCAGTACATACCTTTCCTGCATCACGCTTAAAATCTGCTTTTAAATCAGGAAGAATTCACGTGTCGAGGTAGTAGCTTTTTATCACTGAATTTAATAACAGACCTCTACACATTAACTTTTTCTCACTAATTTTCAATGTCTTCTTGGTGAGAATGTTATTTTTCTAAATAAGAACTTTCATGTTAATAAAGTAGGTATTTGAGTATCTGTGGAAAAGCTTGTTTAGTGCATTTCAGGAAAGTTAATAATGAAGTAGATCTGTCACTGTTTTGTTTCACCTGTTATTCAGCTGTAAGGATAGTATACAAATTGATAATTCTTATAGATAATCAATTAAGGTGGGTTTCAGGAGTCATAATTTGTATTGGCAAAGCTCAGGGAAGGACTCTCCTGTGCTTTTCAAAGGAAGATGGAATTATGTAAGTCCAGTCTCTAGAACTACTGCTGTGGAATAATTTAAACAGAGAACATACTATTAATGAACACCTCTCATACCATTTTATAGAGCAACAGCATTGAAGAGTATCTCAAGTTAGTGACTATTGTTTTCTTATTTTATCAGCTGGCAGGAAAACAGATTGATCCAAAGCTATTAAATGAAATTAATCTACCCTTATTTTAATAAAATGAATATGCCCAGTAAGTTCAACAATATCTCAGTAAGGAAATATAATGTGGATAGGGAGAAACCAGAGTATTTTTTTTTGTTTGTTTCTTTGTCCTTGTGACTTAAGTGAGTAGAAAAAGAGATCATCAGTTTTCACAGTGCCACCATTACTTGGAAGTGGGAGGTGCCTTTTCTAATTTATATTATGATCTTTTGTTGTTTTGCTGATTGCAGATTCCAGTTAATTTCAGGCAGCTGAGATTGTTTATAGTCTTCCTACTAATGTCACTAATGACTACTCCAAATCAAAGCATGATTGCTCAAGTAAAATCTTCTCCATTTTCTTTATTGAATTTTGTGAAATGGGGATGTGACAAAATGATTTTCATTTACAAATGGAATGAAAAGGTATTTTCACTCACTGTCTTATATTCTTCGAATTGGTGTTGTGTTGAAAGAATCAGCTTGATAATACAGTTCCTCTAATTTTAAAATTGGTCATTTTGTATGTCTCAGATGTTTACCTGTTTGGTAACATTGGAGTCCTTTAGGCTATAAGCTAATATATCCAAATGACATTTTTTTCATTTAAATACCTAAAAGAAAGTGATAAGTTCCCAATAATAAGATTAAGTTTATCAATAAAAATTACTGAGTTGAGCTGATTAGTGTTTGGGGGGAAAGATTGCATAATGCTTTTAGGGCTAGCAAACTTAGTCAAAATTGGGAGTAAATTTGTCTTTGAGAGACAAGGTCCAATTTTTATCCACTGTTAAACTGATCATTAATGTAAAAGTTACTTCTTTGGCCATTTCTACATTCATGAGTTGTGTATTTTCATGATTCTAGTGGAAGTCTCATGCTAACAATAGTTTCACCTTAAAGCATTTTCTCAACTCCTCTATGCAAGAACTAGAATTTGTATAAAGATATAATTTATGTGCTATATCTTTTCATTACATTTGAATGTAATGTTAATAGAAATATCTGTTGATGTAGCTTTAAAATATTGCCCATAACATCATATAGATTTTTTTTTATATTGTAACCTACTAAGAGATTTCCGCTAACAATGAAGAGTAGGGAGCTTTTTCTGAAAACGTATTTTAAACTCAGAAAATTAGACTTTCAAATAGTTCTGAAACCTTTATTTAAAAAAAAAAAACCCTAGCAGTGCAGTTTTAATTGATATGCAACAAAGTAGACTTTACTAATTAAAATCAAGACGCTGAGCTTTTGCTACACGGACCTTTACATGGAAAAGTGGGTTTTACACATTTCCTTTATTGTTCGGCGCAGCAATTGCATCCTTCCAGGGTTGTAGGTTGGTGGCTTACAGTTCAAAAAAAAAGAGAGCTGCCACCAGCCCCGAAGACAGACAGTGGGCTTTCGTCCCTCCGACACCCCCAGAATACTAATCAGGAAAGTCAGACCCTGGAGGTCAGGGAGCAAGTCAATCATTCTAGCGATCGTCTCAGTGTGGAGGATCAAATTAGCCTGAAAAATTCAGCTGCTGGGAGGAGAGGGCGAGCAGCTGTCAGGGGCAGCATCGAGATGCACTAATGAACCAGATGAATAGTGCAAAAGCTTGAAAATAAAAACAGGACAGTTGACATTTTTCATCTGTCAAAGCAGGAGATGCATGAAAATATACTATTCCTGTTTAACTCCTTAGGGGACATTCAGGGTTTTTTTTTTTAACACTCTGCAGTATTGAGACAAAAGTAGTATAATGAACTCCTAGCATATGATAATGAATATGTGTATATTACTTAAGGTTTTTACAAAGTAAGGGGATTATAGTTTATATACACAACATATTTTTAAAAATGGTACTTCGAACGTTCTATTTATTATGAATTTTGAATTTTAAAATATTATAGTTCCTTCTTTAGAAGTTTGCTCTTTGGTAGTGTGTTTTTTTGTTTGGGGAGAGATTTAAATTTCTTTTTATTGCTTTTCTTGCCATGTGGAACAACTGTTCCTTGGTGGTTCTGTATAGGTTTCTGTAGGTTTTATATTAGCTATAGGCTAGTCGCCAGTTCATTGAGCTGCTTTCCAGGCCTGGGTTGCTGTGCCTGTTCTCCTGGCCAGGGTTCTGAAGGAGTTAAACCCTGTCTGGAGCACAGAAGACAGATGAGAGCCATTTTCAGCTTGTCCTGTCCCCACTGACGCTCACTGAGTAGCACAGCACGGACCAGCGTGTTTCACCCACACTCTGCCTGTCTGGGGAATGTACACATTGTCCTTCCAAAATCAAACTTATTAGCACATGTAGAAAAGGGTGACTGGCTTTGGGCCGCCTGGCGCTCCATGTTGGATCCTTGGTTGCTGCGGTTCAAAGATTCAGAAGGTTCTGAACAGGATGTGAACATTTTAAATTGAATTTTTTAGTTTGTAACCCTGCTTACCACAGCATTTGCTTGAACTTTAAATGTCAAGTTAGGACCTTGTCTTAAAATAAATTTAAATTCAATAATGTCTGTTTTTAAATGTTGTTCATCCTCTGAGTCATGTTTTTCTGCATAAGAGTCTCATTTGGATGCCTTGAATTATACCTATGTGACTTGTAGACTTCTTGAACATATTTAGTGTTTTTGAGACATTGTCAAAGAAGTTCTAATTCATTGTTAACTATTTGAGGTCAGTTATAATATTCAAATTTCTTCTCCCCCCCTCTCAAAATAACCTTTCCCACAGAATATATGCTTAAATATGTCTTCATTTTAGGGAATTTTTAAATGTTGCAAAAATTATATAACCAAAGTTGAAAAAACATTCTTCGTACTTCATAATCCTCAGAAAAGGATTTGCTTGAAAATTAAAATGACCAGATAGCTTTATTTAACGTATTTATAATTATTTGCCACCCCAGTGTAATATACTTGCTGAAATTACCGTGTTGAGTTACTGTGTCACTCTATCAGTTTCATTGGGGATGTTTTTCAGATGGCTGCACTACAGAGTCCTTTCTATGGTGACAAGATGAATTTATACTCACTGTGTAAGAAGATAGAGCAGTGCGACTACCCGCCTCTGCCTTCAGATCACTACTCAGAGGAAGTAAGTCGCACTCAGTCCATGTGTCTCTTGTTCGCTTTACAGTGTTCATGTTTGGTTACAGAATTTGACCTTACCCCAGAAATTCGGTGACTAGCACACATGAGGGAAGCAGCACTTTCAGTTTCCTGCTGCAAGTTGGCTGGCATCTTCATGAGAAGTGGACACAATGCAACATGTGACATGAAACTGGTCACGTCCTAGGTGTGATGGGAATAGTGGCTGGCTACAGTGGACGGGTCAGAGAAGGGACTGGCCAGTGCCCACTTCCAGGCTCTGGTTACTGAGCATGTCCGGTGACCCTGACATCGCCCCGGGTGACCCCTCTCTGCATGCCCTCATTCTCACCATCCAGACCAGCCGACATTACAGCCCTCTGGTGTAGTAGAGCTCCCCTCCCATCCGTGTTTTCAGAATTTTGAAACACACATCTTTGAGCCCCCTGTCTTAACCTTGTACTTTTAAGTTTTGTTCTTCCCCTTTGATGATACCTGTCCTCTGCCTTAATGCAGCAGTCAGTACCATAGATAAGCAGGTTGAGGCTAGCTATGGATAGAACAGAATTTTTCAACATTTCTGAGATCTGAATCCTTGCTTGCCTTGGTAACCCACTTAAAGGACTTGTTTGGGCACTAGCCAGGATCCAGTTCTCCATTGAATAAAGCATCTCTGGTCTTACCCTAACATATCCTGATTGCATCTGTATTTATGGAGGAAGCATACAGAAATGGACTCTCAGGTCAACTAAGATGTGGTCACTTAAGTTCTTTTTGGACTGTGTATCTGGGCCCCACCCAGAGAAAGCAGTGTCTCTCATTAGGACATCTCACCTTATGAGCAACAGATATTTTGCCCCAGGAACATGGAAAGGAGCAAAGGAAAATGCAAAACAGTTAGAATGTTCATTTATTAGGTAATCCTGTCAGTCTTTCTATTATGAAAGAAATGAACCAGCATCTGGTCTTAGTATTGTGTAGGGAAATTTCAGTCTGTGTAACTTGAATAATAAATATCTCCAAAGAATTTTTTTAAACCATATTTAAAGCATTTCTGTTTCGTATGTTTTCTTCTTATAGTTTTGATACTGATAATCAATGATGCCTAGTTTATTGCCTCATGGCATTTGTATTTAGGTAATTAGAATCCACTCTTAAAAGGCAGCAGTGGTAATTTAGAGGTATTATCTTTATTTGGTGTTAATGCTCTTATGTTAGCCATTTTTAATTACTATTTTGGGTATAGAATATAAATATGGCATTTCACAAAACCAACTTCAGAACTCTCAGCCCAGAAATAGAGTAGGGTGTGAACAATAATGCAAAATGATAGCAAGAATGTCAGGGGCCTTTCTTTGTTGTGTCATTCATGCTGTCTTCTTTTTTCCATGAAGCACATGAATATTTCACATATCTGCATCCTCATCCCCTATTCTTCTTGACTAATTTTCAGACTGTCTGAATTTGCATTTCACATGGTAGCTGATTAGGAGATGCGGAGTGCAGCAGTGAGGCCTCAGCAGGCGGTTACCATGGTGACCTTCAGCAGGATTTTAATGATGATACCACTAGTGGTTCGTTGAAGTCGGCCTGCCTGCAGGGCTACTTCACTGCAGCTAAGTGTGAAGTTGGAGATGCGGATTCTCAGCCAAGGGGCAAATATCAAAGTCTGGCCCAGATATAAGGTCTTCGGGTTGGGAAAGGAAAATAGATTCCACTTTTTACTTTGCTCTGTAGAGTTACCCATTTTTAAAAGAGCTATAAAGCAAAGCACATATGGTGTACATTCCAAAAATGAGTGTGCTCCCTTGTATTGGTAAAATTTATTGCCAAGCCCTGATGAAATAGAATGCTACACTATCTAATAATAGGTAAACAGGAAGTAATTTTTACTCAAGAATGAATATGAAAAATATGCAGACTGTATAACAGTGTTTCTTTAATCTGATCAGTTATGTAGAAGAGATCTCAGAACAAAAGCTTTGAAATGCAGATCTGCTAATAAACGTTTTTTTTTCCTTAAGTAGAAGCTCAATTTGTCAAATAATTATTCAGAGTTCATTGTAGCAACTAAAACCTGAGCAGATTTGTTGTTGACATAATGATGTCTTAAGTTTTTTTTTTTAAATAAGGTAGGCTCCATAGATACTTTGTTTTAAAATCACAATTTGAGTTTAATTTGTTAGTATAGCAAAATACAGGAATCAATGAAAAGCAAAGCCCATTTTTTTGCAATAGTGAACTTTTAATTAAAAGGTCAGAGAAGCATCCATTTTATAGCCAAAATGGCAAGGCATTGTAACTGAAAAATAAAAGTAGTAAGTAAATTAATGTTGCAAATATATATTTGAGGTCTTGACAGATTTACTTAGCTACTGTTAAACTTCTTAAGGCTCCTGTTCGGAATACTTTGAAGTAAACATTTCATAAGAACCTGAGCTATGAGACTGGGAAGGTGGCTCAGTGGTAGAGTGCTTGCCTTGCATGCATGAGGCCCTGGGTTCGATTCCTTAGCACCACATAAACAGAAAGAGCCAGAAGTGATGCTGTGGCTCAAGTGGTAGAGTACTAACCTTGGGCTGAAGAGCGGAGAGACAGTGCCCAGGCCCAGAGTTCAACCCCCCCCCCCAAAAAAAAAAAAAAAGAACCTGAGCTATGTCTGCCAAGTCAGCCTTAGTAGATAGGAGTCTTAAGGAAGCCTACATTCTATACAGTCATTTTGTAAGAACTCATGAGAAATTTTAGAAGCTCATAACTTTCCAAATTTCTTACATTATTGTCTAAAACAAAAGCACTGCTTAGTTTTAAAAACCTGTATGTCAGATCTTTCCTTTTGAATTACGCTGTTAGGATATACACATGATTAGGGCTCTAGATTAAAATATTTCACCTACATATGAAGGCTTTTAGGAAATACATATTTTTTGACTTATAATAATTTCACTATAGCTTTGTGTGTGTGCACACATGCGTGCACGCCAAATTCTTTTTATTTATTTATTTTTATTTTGGTCAGTTGTGGGGCTTGAACTCTGGGCCTGAGTGCTGTCCCTCAGCTCTTCAGCTCAAGGTTAGCACTCTACCACTTGAGCCAGAGAACCACTTCTAGTTTTCTGGTGGTTTATTGGAGATAGGAGTCTCATGGACTTTGCTGCCTGGGCTGGCTTTGAACCGTGATCCTCAGATCTCAGCCTCCTGAATAGCTAGAATTACTGGCGTGAGCCACCAGTGTCCGGCTAAATTCATTCCTTTTTAAGTTATGAGTTCATCCATGTACCAGTATCAAACTACTATACTGAATAAGAATTTTGGGTTGAAAGCAGATGCCTTCCCTAAGATATCTCTGTGTAACTTAAATGCGTTGGTGGTTAGAAGGGACTGTATGTTAGTAACTGAAAGTCAAAGGACAATTCTTTCTCTCCCTTCATTCTCCAATTCAAGTTCTAGTAGAAGTTCCAGGAATCTCATGCTTTCCTAGTTCTTGTTTCCTCTTTCTGAAGATCTGCCCTGTTCTTTATGAGGTAAATTCACCCTTCTTCTTTGCAACCCAGTGTGACAGTCAGCTCCCTTAGACCCGTCCCTGGCCCTCTGTTCTGCTGTTCTTTCTCAGCACACTTGTTCCCTTCCACACGATCCAGCTTCTGCCCCCAGCTTCTGTTGGTTCTGTATCTCCGCAGCCTGATCAATTTAAAAAAGTTGGGCCACTAATTGAGGAGGAGTGAGATTCAAGGAACATATTTTTAAAAAGTGAATGACCTAATCAGTGCCAATTTGAATGAGAGAAAGTTCTCCAAAGGACTATGTAGGAAAGCATAAATTACTCAAGAGATACGGTTGAAGATGTGAAGTTTTCTTTTGCCAGTATCATGCGTTGTATGATTTTTATTCTTTTGCATAAGTGTTTTCATAAGAAATGTCCATGGACAATTACTGGAAATTAGGACAGAGCATTTTCCTTCTTTAAAGCGGGACTGGGATGGTCATCCCAGTGTTGTATTTATTCTGTAAATCATGCCATGAGAGCACTAGTTTAAAAAAAAAAATTCAATAGGTTTGGAAGAAAATTCTGAAAAGTCGAGAACAGAGTTTGCGGATGAGCACATAAAAGATGGCAATGAAAATGGAGTAGAAGGGTGGACTTGGTTTGCGACACCAGAACAGGGGAATATTAAGTTGAAGGCTGCAAAACTGTGCTCTGCATGGGAAAACTTTGAGCGCCTATAACACCTTGGAAAACTGGCGAACACTTCTTCGTAATGAAGAGGACATTCCCTACAGCATTTATGGATCTGAGTCGTTGTTGTGTCCCTCCTCTTTCACGCAGTTAGAGAACAGAGGCAGGAGAACAAGGTTTTTCCTTCTTCTCTGGCAACATGGCGCAGGAACGCAGCCCCACAGTGTCCTCCTGCTGCTGCTTGCTAGTGTGCAAGCCCTCAGCATTGCCTCGTCATTCCTGAAGCAGAAATCTAATACAAAGATGAAGAACGGTAGCGGCTCTCCTGCACTTGATTATATATTGATGATAATAATAAATGTTTAACTGAACTAAACTGATTTCAGCTATGTCTTAAGTCATTGGAGAGAGTATGATGTAGTTATGTGCCTTTGATCAAACTAATTCCAGATTTTTTTTTTCAGCTTTTGAAGTCATGATTTTCTTTCACCCGTATCACTGGGTTTTGGTTCAAGAAGGGTGGTGGCCTTGTTCCCATTCTACATGGGGGCAAGTCGAGATGCATTCAGTCTGAGGACAAGTGCCAGCCTCAGGATCCGCAGGCTCGTGCCTCCCTCCCTGCCTGTGCCACACGCAGGGCCGCAGGGTCAGAGGGGACCCGCGGGGGTCTGTCACCAAGCTAACCGTACGGTAGAGTACCAGCTCCTGCACCGCAGTGTCTGCCAGGCGGCCCCTGCCATGGAGGTGACGCAGTGAGGGCCGAGGCACAGTCAGGCACCTTGGGACCAAGTAACAGTTAAGGGCGGGCGGGACTGGGCACACAGGCTCCTCAA